GGAGGCACTGGGGAGTAATTACTTTGAATGGCCCTGGGGAGGAGCTATTTCAAAATAGCAGCAGTGGAGCATCCACACAATTGCTATTCCAAAATAGCTATTTTGTAATAGGTATTATTCCTCATGGAATGAGATTTACAGAAGTTGGAATAAGTCAGAATAAGCCATCTATTATTTTGAATTTATTTTGAAATAAGGGAATTGCTGTGTGGACACTTGCATTGTTACTTTGGAATAACGGCTGTTATTTTGAAATAACGTTGCTGTGTGGACAAATCCTTACAGAGAAGAGGACTCTGCCTTAGGGGTGAGGCACACATAGGCTACGCCTAGACTGCAGCTCTTTTCTGGGATACCAAAAGTATCCCAGAAAAGCTATGCCATGTCCAAGGAACGCGTCTGCTTTTCTGAAAAAAAAATCAGAAAAGTGGCCAAGTTCTTTCACCATCCCTGTAAACCTTGTTTCATGAGGAAGAAGGGACGGCTCGAAAGAGAAGGTTTTTCCAAAATTTGGCACCGTGTAGATGCGCCACATTTCGGAAAAACCTCTTTCAAAAGAAAAGCAGAAAAAGATGTGCAAATTACGGTTCGCAATTTGCATATCTTTTTCTGGCTTTTCTTTGTAGTGCAGACTTAGCCTAACTGAACAGTGTGAAGAACCTTGTATTACAGCTGCTCTCAAGAAATGAATTGTCTCCTGATCTATTTGTATGATGTCTCTTGGCAGTACTAAATTAAGATGAACATAGAGAGGCACAAGGCCACAATCGCAGCTCTGAGAGAACATCTCTCTTGAAAAGCAGAGCACTGGCTGGTGTTGGGGATAATTTCCAGGAAGCTTTAGGAAAACTTCACTGATCTGCATGACCAGAATGCTGAGTTGAAAGCTCAGATTACAAAACCCAAAAGACAACTGGCTGATCCAAAGACAACTTTGGGGAAGGTGGAAAAGAAGCAACCTATGAAGGTAATCAGTAAGATGGAATCTCAGGACAGTGAATCTCAGAGATTTAGGGCTAGATTCACAAAAACTTAAGCACAGCAGCACCAGTGTTGCCAGGCCTAACTTTTAGGCTCCTGGAAATATCACTGGGATTCACTGAGCCTGGATTAGGCTCTCTATCCAGTGAATGGAGAGAGATAGGTACCTCAGAATGGGACTTTAAAAAGCCAGCACACTATATGGCCCTAGCCTAGAGTAGCCATTTGGACATGCCAAGCCAAGAAGTGTGCTAAGCCTGTGCCTCCCTCCCCTTGGGAATCTCATCTACAAACCTTGTCTTGATGTTAGGCACCTACACTGTTTTGAACAAGAAGACGGAAAGGGGGACTACCTCACAGCTTTCAACCCAGTGGTTAGGATGGTGGTACTTCCCCTAGCCAGGTTGTGTAAACGTTCCTGTTACCAGAGGGAGGCCTGGAATTGCATTATGCTCTTGCTATGCAATAACCCTGTGTTTCATAATTTTTGTCATTTTTCATTTGTTTTAATAAAGGTTTTAATAAATTGGTATTGTCCTCTTGAGTGCTCTTGCCATGCACTCTGAGAGTCCTTTTTTGAGCTGGAACTCTCTCACTCTGTAGCTTAAATTGAGACAAGGAGCTAAATATCTTCTTGATAGATGTGGCCAATGGCAAGCCATTACCTCTACCCATAAATTCAAGTTGACAGTCCTGAGATTAAGCATCCAGGTACCCGATATTAGGTTTCAGTAAACATGCTCAGAGGCAGAAATATAAGCACCTAAGAAATTTTTTGTGACTCTTGACCTTGAAGTCTGAGCAGCCGGAAACAAAGCAGGAGCTGAAGGGGGAGCTGGAGATACTGAACACATCCACAAGAAACACAACTCCACTGTTGCACAGCAAGAGCTCAGATTAAGTAGGATAAGAACCTGCCTCTTCCTAAGAAGACCCTGAACAATGAGGCAGAGGCATTTATGCTGTGATCTGTGAAGGAGCTGGGTTGTACTTCAGACAATCACTCTGCCGCTCTCCTTAAGACAGGTCTCCCTGAGCATTCTTCCTTGATACTGAAGCTGTAACTTAGGCCACCTTCCAGCTTCGGCCAGCATCCCCTCCAAGCGGTCGTCTTTTCATAGTCAGTCCTTTCACTCTTGACTGTGAGGCAGAGGCATTTATGCTGTGATCTGTGAAGGAGCTGGGTTGTACTTCAGACAATCACTCTGCCGCTCTCCTTAAGACAGGTCTCCCTGAGCATTCTTCCTTGATACTGAAGCTGTAACTTAGGCCACCTTCCAGCTTCGGCCAGCATCCCCTCCAAGCGGTCGTCTTTTCATAGTCAGTCCTTTCACTCTTGACTGATCATCTTTGGAAGGAGGAGAGAATATATAGTTGCCTTCCCAGAGCTTGTACTAATTGGCTGGGAAAGAGGGGAATCCTGCTCAGTCAATTCTGTCAGGCTCCTGGTCCTAAACCCTGAAAGAAGCAATAGTCTGGATTTTCCAAAAGCTTTAATTAATCCTCTGGGACCATAGTCCTCTCTCTCCCGATGCCTTCCTTTGCCTTCTCCGGTTGTCTTCCATTCTAAAAAGTCTCAGAACTTATAGGTGGGCAACACAGAACTGATGTTGACTGACCTTTGCATCTAGGAAGGAGAAAGTGTTTTCTCCAAAACACCAGAAGTCCTTATACAAGGTAAGTAATCCAGATGGACATTTGGGAGAGGTGCATGTGTGTGATTGTGGGAAACGGGCCACTCTGTAGAAGTGCCTGCCCTTGATTCTATAGGGTCTGCAGTTACTTGTATGACTTCATTTCATTTGTTGTGGAAACTTGTAAGAATAGTGCAGAGGCAGACAATAATCAGCACAGATCCTGCCATAATAATAGAATTAATCTAAAATGGGGAGCAAGGCTCCTCGATAGCTTGGTCCAAAGCCCACTGAAGTCAGACAGACAGAGATTTACTGGGTACTGCATCAGGTGTTAGTGAATTAAACTTCTCTTCATAGCAGAAATACTGATGGCAATATGACAGATCTTGCTCATCAGTCTGAAAGCATGTTGTTAGATTAGAATGCAGTGGTTCTCCTGGAACTGATCTCTAACTTATGACTACTGGCTTTTGATCTGATTATCTGTTTACTGTATGAATGTATTGGCTTAGCCTAATAGGGTGCTGTGAGATACAAAGAAGAAGAAAAAGGCTACTGATAAGTCACCCCTTGGCAAACACTTAGGAGTTGTTCTGAGACAATGCCATTACAAGAAACAAGTCTGGAATTATGAGATCAAGAGGATTATAGCTGCTTAAAAAGGGGCTGTGCTTGAAAAGAGGTAGTTTTGGGGCAGGTGTTTTGGCACCCCATATGTGTGCCTGTGCTGTTTGAAGAAGGCAAGTTCTGCATAGTTTATTCTCAAGAGTAAGCTCAATGTGCCTGTAGACATGTTTGTTTAATTTTTCACCCTCCTATGCTTTCTTCCTACTATGATCATGTACCACTCGTCATGGACTCTTGAAGGGAAGAGTCATAGGTGCTGAGCTCAATTGGATTTGCTGGGTAAGCAGTTGATGCAGAGGATGCTATAACCCTGTTGTATTCCCAAGTGAGAGAACTTGAGACTGCTTCCTGCACTGGAAAGTGCATGGCCTGGCAACTGAAGGGATGTACTCAGAGGGGACAGCGGTGCAGCTGGTTTGTAACTATGACCCAGAGTACAGATAACTACAGCCTCTCAAAACTGCATGGGGCTCGTAGGGGTATTTCATAAATTTCCATTTGCACTTCCCCTAAAGCACAGACATTTTCTCCGGAAACACCTATTCTACAAATTAGGTGAGAATCAATGTTGAATACAACAACTAGAAAATAAAACAATTATTTACACCGTTTCTGCAATATGAGAAAAATTTGGCAGCATCCCAGCTGTCCAGAAACTATAATTGTCATTCATTTACGTCATTGTTAATTTGCATTAGTCACGTAGGAGCCCTGCTCTGCAAAGAAAACTACTCCCTAAAAACACATTCTACTGGAAAATAACAAATTAATTTAGAATTGTTTTCTACAAAGTATGAAAAAATGTTTGTAATTACACTGACTGTGCTCTAATTAAACATCTTTAAGTTTAAGTTTTTGATTTGTCAGACAAACGGGGCCTATTTTTAATGTAAAAAAGCCAAAATTCTGTCAGAGTAGTAAAGACTTCAAGGTGCAGACAGACTTATAATAACTTCCTTTTAAAATGGAATGAAGTCCAACCAGTTAGCTGACTTTTATGAACAGGTGGAACTGAGCTTGTGTGTGTATATATGCCTTCTCTCTTTCATTTAATAGCTCTTTACTGTTTAAATGAGAACTTTATTACATTTCCATATTTTAATTTTTGAGGCATGTATATTCTGTGATATATCCACCAGAAAAACCCACCATATTGTAATCAATGTTCAGGGAGAAAATAAGAAGTTCAGCTCCTTCTCTAGCATTATAGAAAGCCTTTGACTAGACATTTTGACCATACAGCTCAATTTATGAATAATTACAAACACTTAGCTAAAAAATCTTTGGATATGAAGTCTACTCCCTAGCAAACTCAAACAACACTTCTGCTAAAAGTTTCTGTTTCCCCATAACAGAAGCTAAGGTAGTGGTGGAAAAGAGGAGAGAACTCTTTACCATTCAGTAAAGGGAAATGGCCTCTGGATTTGGCCCTTAGGGCAATAGTACTTTATCAACACCCAAGACAAACTGACCATTCAGTACATTCCCTAACATGTCAAACAGAACCTCAAATGGCTTTGCTCTGAATGCAGAGCTGAAGCTTACTCTAACGACTAACTCCTTCCTCTCTGGAAATGAAACAACCCATGTCCTATATTTTATTTGTACAAAAAAAGTACCTTTAGCCACATGTAATATTGTAATTTAGATCAAATGGGATTTTCAGTTCCTAATCTGAGCCTCTGAAAGAAACCTAAATGTCATGCATGTAGATCTACTGCAGTTTCATATACCTCATAGGAAATGGCCACATACCTCTGAATAAAGTATCCCCATGTCCTTTCTTTGGGAGCTTGCCTCAAGTCCTTCGCAGTTCACTTGGCCAGTAGCTTTTCTTGACTTTCAATTGCTCTTGAGTTTGTTTAAAGTTGATTAAAATTTAATCTCAAGAGTCTCTTTGCAGAATTATTTGGGCCATGAACAATGTAGGTATATGATCCTTCCCAAAGCTACATGTGTGGTAAGTACTTTCCTAATCAGGGAGTATGAAATGATGACGTTTTCAGAAGCCCAACCCAGTGAGGTAAACATGAGACTGTGGGTTTACTGCGAGGCTGACACAAGCAGTACAAGTTACAACAGCTAGAAGTATTTTGCAATAGCAGGTTCCCTAAAAGAAAAAAGGGTAAACTAGCCACACGAGAGAAGACAAATTTCACAAGAAAATGCATGAAGAAATTTGAGACCTCTAACAAAAATTTACAGAAGTAGGTGTGAGATTATCACCCAAATAATAAAAATGAGGCCTTACAACGTAACGACCATGATTGTAGAAAATGAGATTAAAGTGAACAAAAGTGGTGTTGTCATACCCATTGAAAGGGAAGTGCAGATTTGCTTTATCAGATAAATACACTTCCATTACTACACAATCATAGAAATTAGAGACAATGAAGTGGAAAAAAAAAGGGAATTACCTGTACTAATTTTTTCAGCACACAATCATAGAAATTAGAGACAATGAGGTGGAAAAAAAAGGGAATTACCTATACTAATTTTTTTCATATTTAATCTACATTTCTAGTTTTAATATGGTCCATGCAGATGAGGGGATATTCCATCATCTGCATTGGCTACTTCTAGGAAGAATTGTGATTGCTGTTTCCTCATGCAGAATACTGTAAAATATATGCAACAGTCTGCTTCACTGAGCCAAGAGCATTCTATTACTTATTACCTACGTTGTACATACGTTTTTTTCTGAGAAATTAAAGAAATATTGAAAGTTTGTCCCATTTGTAAAATCTTTGCATTTGTTCATGCTAATCTCTATCAGGAAAGAACACCACCAACAGCTCAATTTATGAATAATTACAAACACTTAGCTAAAAAATCTTCGTATCTGGAATATGTCTCATTACAATCATTTTGAATATGAAGTCTACCCCCTTATACCTTCCATGACCCATCTTGAAAACAATTATGATTGCAATCAATTTGACACATGAGTAGTCCTACTGATAACAACTGGACTTTCCAAAATTGTGAAGTTGCTTATGTATTTGTTTGTCCCAGGGTTGTTTTTTATCACCCAAACTTATTACCCACATTAATGTTAAAAATAGAGGTGTATACTAAGGATGTTAAAATGTGGTTAATTGAGTAGTCGACTAGTCGATGGAATTTCCATTGACTAATTGACTAGTTGATAGGCACTTCTGCATTCCTCCTTTGAAATGTACAAGAGCCCCTGCTGAGGCTCTTGTACATTTCAAAGGAGGCATGAGGAACTACAGCCCGGGGCCAGTGGGAAGCCCCACTGACTCCGTGCTGCATGAGGGTACCTTCTTTGAAATGCACAAGAGTCCCCAGCAGGGGCTCTTGTGCATTTCAAAGCCATGGAGCTCGGGATCAGCAGGGGACTCAGAATCCCTCACTGACTCTGGGCTTCATGCTAAGCTGCATGCTGCTAGGAGCCCAGGGTCAGCTGTGGACTCCTCAGTTGATCCCGGGCTCCCTGAGGCATTTCCCGGGGAGCCTGGAGTCAGCTGGGGAGTCCCCAGCTGTCCCTGGGCTCCTAGCAGCATGCAGCGTAGCATGGAGCCCAGGGTCAGCAGGACATTCTGAGTCCCCCGCTGATCCCGGGCTCCGTGGCTTTGAAATGCACAAAGAGTACCAAGCATTTAAAAGAAGGCATCCAGCAGGGGCTTTTGTGCCTTTCAAAGGAGGAATGTGGAAGTGCCTAGAGACTAGTCGACTAGTCAAAAAACTATCTGATAAGTGAATGTTTATCGGATAGTCAAGAAGTCAACTAGTCTTTAACATCCTTAGTGTATACATTAGCATCGACAGAAATTGACTTGTTTTTTTTTTCCAAATCATTCCTTAATGTTGTTAACAGCATGAATAAAACAGTAGAGAATATATGCGTCATATTCCAGAACAAAAGTTTTCTCTGGGGAAGGAGAAAAGAAAAACATTGTCCAATGCAATATTAATTCAAACTGAAATACAACTAATGATTCTGAAGACTCTAGTAATGAAAAGAAGGAATTAGAGATGCAAGGTGGACACATTCATCAAGGCTTGGTCTATACTGCAGGGCTGTGTCTAGACTGGCAAGTTTTTTTGGAAAATCAGCAGCTTTTCTGGAAAAACTTGCCAGCTGTCTACACTGGCCACTTGAATTTCGGAAAATCACTGATGATCTCATGTAAAATCATCAGTGCTTTTCCAGAAAAACTATGCTGCTCCCGTTCGGGCAAAAGTCTTTTTCCGAAAAGGGCCAGTGTAGACAGCATAGTTCTGTTTTCTGCAAAAAAGCCACGATCGTGAAAAAGGCTATCAGGGCTTTTTTGCGGAAAACCGCATCTAGATTGGCCACGGACGCTTTTCCACAAAAAGTGCTTTTGCGGAAAAGCATCC